TACTTTTCACCATGGAATTCTGGTCCTGCAGATGCCAAGCAGTGCAAATGTTTTTTTCGTACACACATTTCTTAAGAAAAGTAATCACTCTGCTGATTACATTCATTTAATTTTCATGGCTAGCTGTCAATATTATGAATGCTTCGTGAAGTCAGTAATAATTCATTTATAATAGGGGCTTTTTTTCCAAAGCTGTTTCCCCAGTCCATTCTTTATGCTTAATAATTACAGAGGCAAGGCAGCAGCTGGGCACTGTGTTCCATATACAGAAAGTCTAACCAATTGTAACACTGTGTACACTGCAACAAATGCAGTGCCACAAGCTCAAGATGACTTTCATGAGTGAAGACACAGAAGAAGAAAAGCACAACACTAACACACTGTTTGCAGCACATGCACAACACTGATAGGCACTGATGGTCTTACTGAGGCTTTCAGCATTTACTGAGACAAGCAGTCTGAAAGCAGCGTCAATCTACAGGTAGCATTTGAAGTGCCTTGAATGTGCATGGGACAGCATTACAAGCTCTGGGAGATAATTCTTACAGATGCCATATACACTGCCAAAATTTTATATACACTTTTTAACATATTAATCAATGTTCAGCCTCATGCATTTAAATATGAAATTCAGCCCCTTAGTAGGCTACACAGATGAATGGCTGCTGTTTTTTTCGTTACAGGACTGTGGACTACAATCAAGCTGACAATAAGAAGAATAGCAATAAAAGGTATTTATGGAACTTCCATTAAATGTTTTGCTTACTTCCACAACAAGCATGGTACATGCTGCTATTCAAGCCTCTTCACATCCACCAATGCAGCTCAGTGCAGAGCTATGGTAGGACTGGATGAAAAGATGTCTCTAGGCTACACCTTGTCTATCTGTGATCAGCACATGCTCCTCCCACCACTCATTATACCAATGATGGCTGTGCTGTGGCCACCCTTCAACTTGGAAGCGGACCACAACTATAAGCTCAGTTGTCAAAGCTATTGACAAAGCAGAGCCAAATACTACTACCTCTGCACTTGTTGCAAAAGGACAGCATTGGTGGACACATGCACTGAAGATGTGCCACTCTGAAGTAAGCAGAGACCTTTCAAAGTGCTCTAGGTACTACAAGTCTGTGTACTCTTACGCATCACTAAATTAACATGATGAAACCATTATGAAGCAGTGTTGCATGAACCATTTCAGATAATAATATGTAATCGAGGAAATATTTGGTGGACAGAATTCAGAACACATGAGCACCTAATGGAAAACGATCTTATCAGGATATTCAGGTACACCAAATTGCTGTTCTAGGTCCCACAGAAACTCAGTGACTCACAAGATACTCAGTATGTAATAACCCTCACACTGTTACTAATAATCACCATGCAGCAGGAACCATGCCTCTTCATAATCATGTAGCAATGCCTTCTTCCTGTAGTAAGCTGACAACATGTTTCAACACCTTCTCATTAGTTCGGCAATGAATGGGAAGTTTGGACTAGCAAAGTAATCCAAGACAGTCAGAGTATGCCTACAACTACATTTGAGCCAAAACCAATCCTGGTCAAAGAAGACAGCAGACAAAGTACAGAAAAGGATTCAAGTGACACGAGTTCTAGAGAAAAAATAGATGGTAGAAGAGGAATTCTACCAAAAAATTTCAAAAGAGATAGAGGAATGGCAAAGCAACTTATAAGTATTAAGAGAAAGGAAGTGAGCAAGAAGCCAAAGGTGGCAGAGCAAGAACAAAGTACTAATAGGCCAAGAGAGAAAAGAAATGAGGTAGCATATGAGCTATAGCCTTGGAAAAGACAGAAGAGGTTGTGTAGGGAATAGGTAATGCAATTAATGGAGCAGAATATTCCAAAAGAAAAGCAGGAGCTCGAAGTGTTAAAGGAAAACACAATGAATGAATTAACGGGTAGGGGCTGGATGTGATTAAGCAACCACATATCTCCACGTTCCTGCCACTGTGACATCTTTAACAACCTCACTGCACTACTTGCATTAAGTTCATCTCAACATTAAATTAACGCTTATTAAGCCCCAAGCTGATCACAGGTTTTGTGGGCTGCTTTCTGTCTCTCCCCATTTTTAATGGAATTTCAAAACCAACGGTTTTATTTATTTATTTTTAACAGGGGTGAAAAGGGCTGGCAAAAAACACATGTTCTTTCAATTTCCTACATTGAATACGTGGCATAAAATCCCCAAATAAGACAAAAATATTTTGCTGAAACACCAAGAATCACTGAGGCCAATTTTCCTGAGCTGCCTCAAGTTTCTTTTACGCTGGCTCAGAAAGTTCATGCTAGTTGTGTTAAGTAGATTATTACCAAACTGCACTTTCCAAGTAGAAGCAAACCTTCATCTAGAAAAGTCAAAGTTGCTGGCTCTGCTGAACTATTACCAGAGAGAGCAGCTCTCCATGGCTGTCCTGCCACGTGACAACATCAAATAGAGGTATTAAAGAAATCGTCAGGAGTTTGCCACACACCTGCCCAGCCTTCCACAACTAGATAAGGAGGACATCGCTGCTTCACTTTGAATTCTTCGCCAAAAGAAATGAAAAAAAACCCATAGGATGGATTTTAAAGTATTCTTAAAAACAAAAACTATACACTCTTCAACTTCTGTTTTCTGCATTTATGCAAAAATGAATGTATGTCCACCTCCAAGGTGTATTTTTTTTTTTTTTTTTTTTTCATTTTAGGCACCAGGGCACCAGCCTGTTGATTCATGCAGCTATGTTTGTTCTTCCAGCTGCTTCTCAGAGAGCTGCAGTTTAAATTAAGTAGAGCAGCACACCTCTGTTCAAATATATAGAGTTTAAACTCAATATGTTTAAACAGCAAAAGGTATAGCAAGTACAAAATAAGCTGAACTTAGCAACAAAATGCTTTCTAATTACTCAGCTCCTCTACCCTCAATGGTATAACAAATACCTGAGACAGGAGCACAGTATAAACAAACATGAAACTCATTTTCTCAGATAACAGAGGCAGAGCAAAGCTGCACGACAGTAACAATATGCTCCACTGGGTCACCCTGCTCCCACTGTATTCTTTTCCTTCAAAATCAGGAAGGAGTCCTTCAGGCTGTTCTCTTTTTAATTGCCCAACTTGTTCTTAGGACCACCACTCTCCACCCCTTTCCTAGAGCTTTTAGCACAGCACTGGTGCTCCAAAGGGCAATCCAGACAATCCGGAATTAGATCTTGGCTAATTGTTTCCCTTTTGCCATGCTATAAATGTCTCACCCAGGACTTCGTTAATTTTAGGAAAAGTGATGGTCAATGCTGCAGCTGCAACTTTCTAAGTTTTTTGGGGTTTTTTTGCACGTTTTATTAATGACAAATATCAGAAAACGGCAGGATTAGACTCTTCTAACCAACAGCTCAAGATCTCTAGGATCCTCGGACAGCAAAAGAATAAGAAAAGAAGCCACACAAAACTGTATAAGTTCCAGGCTATTTAGGAACACCTGTGCAAAAAAACAATGATTGCCTGCTGCTGACCTAAGACAGAGGAATCCTTAAGAGGATTATTGTCTTCCTTTGTTAAGATTCTTATCAGATCACAATTTTTTTTCCTATATGACATGAGAAGCTTTTGTTCTATAATGATTACTGAATATAAAACAAGTCACAACCATCTTAACTTCCACTCTAACTGTAGCCACAAGACAACCTGGGGTTTGCATGGGAATTCATTTGGTACATTAAGTACATATTGTAATCACAATAAAGCTACACAGCTGTACATGCAATTCCATTTTATGCGTCTTTTAAGAGTGCAAAAATTGTACCTGGTTTACTAATTGCCCTGAAACTGCTCTGGGTTCAAATAAAAATATGCAATACTCACTTGACTCAAGCTGTAAAGTTTCTCTATGGCATGTAGATGCTTTAAAAACAAACAAAACATTGAACCACGAGCAGAGGAAACTCAAAACATAACTTAAACCCAAATGAGCTGCTTTATACTGAACTAATGCATTACACCTGAAGTCACAGGAATACATTCTCCAGTGAAAAATATGATTAAGTGAGAGCTATCCTCTACATTCATTCTGCTGCACAAGAGCTCAGGCTTGTACTTTAAAGCATCCACATTTATTAAATGTTTATGAAATGTTAAATAATAAACATACATGTAAAAATATCATATTATATTACTCTACTTACACATTTAGAAGAGTTTAATTGTAGCCTGAAAATGTAACCTCCATTCTCTTCTCAATTGGTAGCATCAATTTAGCCAAGAGCATATTCTACTCAGCACTAATTTAGCACTAATTTAGTCTCACAGTATTTTTTCCAGCCATCAGACTGCCCATCATGTGCTTGGGCTCTCATTCTCTCCATAGAGGGAGCAATGTGTGTAATGGAAGAGGAACTTTATTGAACCGCACGTGTGTAAGATGTGCATGTTTGTGTAAGAAAATGATCAGACTCAATAAGCAGCCTTCAAAGCCATGACGGAAGATGCAGAAACAAACTAAGAATTTGTTCTGTAGTATTCAAAAGGGCCCTTCTGAAAGCCCAACTTCTCACACAGGTTTCCTCTTTCTTGCTGAAGCTCCAGCACAACAGAAGAGCAAAATCATCATGTTAAGCCTTAATTATTCATTTGTTATCTTTTAAACACCAGTTTTAGCCTCTACAGGCATAAGTTTTAGGTCCTTTGAGATCAGAGCCTACACCACCAACTGTATCCAATGCAGTGCCAAAAGCACATGAAAGCTGCAGAGGGAGATGAGCCTGTGGCAGCAAATCCCTGCAGGAAGGCCAGCCACAGAGCCCTCTGCTTGTCTGCACTTCCTCAGCACTGAGAACACAGCCTCATTACATCCCATCTGAGCTGCAACAAAGCACAGGAAAACCTGAAGGCTTGTCCTGATCTCTCTGCCAACCATGAAAACAGAAAGCATTACACTTCAAAACGCTACCTGAAGGCTTTTCATACATAAGCAATCCATACAGTCTACTTGTCAAGAAAGGAGGTTACCACATCATTCCTTTTCAAGATATTTTTCTTGCATAATCTTGTTAAGACTACACCAGCTACCCTTCAAGCTCAGACATCTGTAAGGCTCAGAATGTGTTACTGAATATCAAACTGATAAGAACAAATTCTACACTTGATCTTAGCCAAAAGGCTGAGAAGCCAGTGTGCTCTTGCAGCTCAGAAAGCAAATGGTATCCTGGACTCCATCAGAAGAGGGGTGGCCAGCAGGGAGATGATTGTCCCCCCCTACTCTGCTCTTGTGAGGCCCCCATCTGGAGTACTGTGTCCAGGTTTGGAGCCCTCAGTACCAGAAAGACGGGGAGCTGTTGGAGAGGGTCCAGAGGAGAGCCACAAAGATGATCAGGGGACTGGAGCACCTCCTCTATGAGGACAGGCTGAGGGAGCTGGGCTTGTTCAGCCTGGAGAAAAGAAGGCTGGGGGGTGACCTCACTGCAGCCTTCCAGTACCTAAAAGGAACCTGTAGAAGGGAGGAGAATCAACTCTTTGAAAGGGTAGATAACAGCAGAACAAGGGGAAATGGTTTTAAGTTGAAGGAGGGAAGATTCAAGTAGGATGTCAGGGGGAAGTTCTTTGCTATGAGAGTGGTGAGATGCTGGAATAGGCTGCCAGACAGGTTGTGGATGCCCCGACCCTGGAGGTGTTCAAGGCCAGGTTGGTTGGGGCCATGGGCAGCCTGGGCTGTTATGAAATGTGGAGGTTGGTGGCCCTGCATGTGGCAGGGGGTTGGAGCTTCATGATCCTTGAGGTCCCTTCCAACCCTGACCATTCTGTGATTCTGTGAATATCTATGACAGTAACTCAAATCAGTCAAGATGCTGAATGTTAAGGGAACGTTCCTTCTCATATTGCCAAGTCTAGCAGATCAGTTTCAATAACAAAACAAAGAAAGAAATCTGATTTATTTTATTTTGCTTCTGTAACTCCTGTAGTGCTGTCCCACATATTCCAGTGTTCAGAAATACATCCCCATACTCGACTTTCCTACAGCACCCTCTTCAGATTATTCCAGATCTGGAACAATTAAATAACAGAGGGAGAATGAATGACAAGTAAATTACATTCCCCAATAATCTACTGAGCCAGACCATGCTGTGCTAGATATTTTACATCATTGGTATTACCATTACGTATTTCTGTTTGTAACATCAGCTATACCTTCAAAAATACAATCTTACCACATGTGAGAGATTCATTTAAAATGGAAATTGTAATTACTTGTAAGTGTTCTGTTAGACCAAAATGGTGTGTTTTTGCTAAAACTTAGGAATTTGAAAAGAACATTAGGACACTTTACTGTCTTTTAAATGGTAACATTTTTGTTCCTTGAATAACAAAAGGAATACACGTGTTGTCTCCTTATCTCAAAGCTCTAAAAGCAAATACTTCATTTCTGAATATTTGTAGTCACCTAAGGAACAGCCCTTATCAGAGCTGTGCATTACCATCACATTCATGGAAGTTTTCTCCTTATCATCTCTACCTCTGACCCCTTCTGAAAATGCTAGATAAACAAATGCTTTTTTTCTTTGGGCAGAAGATATTTACTTGCTCGCATGTGTATCAGTCATGGTATTTTTCTTCCCTCAGAAATGTCATCAGTTACAGCGCAGACAATTATTTCTGACAATCACTGGGCCTTGGCACCTGAAGTGAATTCCACTAGAAATTATTCAGCACCTCTGCAATATGCCCATCAATCTACAACAGTGCATTAGCCACAGAAGTATCTGTAGTGGATCAAATACTGAGTTTTGTATTAAGTTATTAAGATACATAAACAAGCTTGAGCAAAGTGAAAAGAACATGGACAAGGCTATGCCATGTAACTAATACAGCTAAGGGAATCACTCTGCTGAACATCAAGTCATTCTGCAGAACTCTTTCAGTTCAGACCAATATAAATACTAACAAGGCATAACTGCTTAGGCATTAAATCAACTAAAATCTCTCCTCCATGGTTACCAAACACCGTTCTCCATTGTCAACTGCTACTTTCTCTCCAACTCCTCCCAAACTACTCATTAATTAAAGTCCTGCTACACTGAAGATGATAAACTGGAAATTAGCTTATCGACAATATTCTTCCTTAGACATACTGTGATTGCAAACTTGACCTCCTTTTGTCTTCAGTTTGGACAGGATGCCAATGTCAGTGGTACATCAATTCACCAGAACTGCCATTACACCTCTGCTCTAACTGGCAGAAAGTTCACTGCTCTTCTTTTACTTGATTAGTAAGCAATCTCATCAGTCACATATTCTATTAAAAAATAATGGAGAAAAGCTCAACAGGAAAAGCATGCATTTTGCCAGTGTATACTTAGGGAAATCTAAAAGTACCTCTTTGTAAGTGAAGTTATCCACTTTTGAATTCAATACATTACTACAGAGTCTTTGCGTCTGATCAAGAAAGCAAATGTAGTACAGCAAACATGCCTTTTTTCTGACTACACGAATACAGACATAGTATGTTTTCCACCTTGCCCATACACTTTTGGATTAGCAGGTTCATTACTATCCAGAACTCTCAACTTACACACATTGTTTGCCTGTTTTTTATGAAGTACTTTTTAGCTAGATGTTACAAAACAAGATTTCAGGTACATCCTTTCTTGCCAATAAATTTGTCAAGAAATATCTAATTCACTAACACATTATTAAATGACAAGGAGAGCATGCAATTTACAATAAAATTGAGTATTTGATTAATTCCATTGGGCTGAAGTTTATCTAATAAGGCAGACAGCATTCTACATTCTCTACATTACATTCAGACTGTATCAGAGCACATGCAGATGGCTCTTTCCCAACCCAGTAGGTAAGACAGCACAGGTCAGTGAAGAACAACAGAGCTGTAAAGTATACTAATAGAAGCCTCAGCATCCTACAGGAACGACCACTGAACCTGCTACAGTCATATGACAAAGTTATAATTGTAAAAGCTGGAAAGCAAAATATAATTTCATGCTATTAGGCTCACCACCCCACTCAATTACTTGGTCTCTTCGTAGCAGCTAATCACCTTCAAGTGAACTTACTGAAGCAGCACTTTCATGTGTATTATTCCTTTCTCAGACAGAGCACTACAGTATCAATTCTTAACAGAGGGCCTAAAAATCTAGCAAGCTTTACACCCACTCTGCTGGTTCTTGTCACGTAGAGGTCATTACTGCTTGTTTCACATTAATATCAATGCTAGCATTACCCCTCCTATCAGAGGGGAGTGAAGAACCCAGCTCAGACATTCCTCCCACAGCAGAACCCTTTTAGTCTGGGGATCCCATCCTGCTCTGTTCCCTGCCTTACCTCTGCACACTGATGGAGTTCTTCCACACTCATATCTGTAATACTCCTTCCTGAAGCTCTCCTCTTTGCCTCAGTCTCTCAGTACGCAGCTGAAGATCTCCAAAACAGCCCCCAGCTTCTCCAAATGCCATCTATTTTTACCTAGGTGCTGCCGTCTCATTCCGGACGCTGCTAATCGGCCCCTTAGTCACAACTGGAAAAGTAACCTAGCTGAGTAACTCTTTCTCAGCTACTGCACTGAGGAATCCTATGCCTCATACTTATTGTATTCAAATGAGGAAACTTCCAGTAAACCTGTTCCCATGCAAGACTAAGCCCTGAGTTTAATACAAATTAACTAGATTTTAGGCTGTAAGGTGCTACAGCAACTTTTCTCACACACTTTTTAAAGCATGACATTCTTGCACGAGAATGTTTTATATTTAAAGCTCCAACTCCAGTAAGAAAGCACCACACAAAACAGATGATAGCTGCAGCATTTATCACTGCACTCTGCTTATTCAGCAGTCTCTTATTTTTACCACTGTACTACCTAGATAAACATGTAAACATGCAAAGCTCTCCCCAAAAGAAATGACAGAAAACCTATGCAAAGCTAGATTTTTAAAGAGTGAAATACATGATGAAAACACACACATACAAACAGTAAGTTCTGAAATAGGTGCATTTCCATACAGCTGGCTTCCCAGGTACCCAGCACATTTCAGAACACTCAGGGAGTCCCGTATGCTTCTCAATTATACTGCTAATGAAAAGTTAACTTAAAACATGCTGGAATCTCCTACCAAGAATTCTGCTTCTGAACAGTTATCAACCAGTACAGCTCGAAGAGGAAAAAAAGATTATCAGACAGACTAGTTAGGCAGCTTTTACTAGGAAAACAGTGGGAAAAGTAAATAGCTAAATGCTCTAAATTCATTATACATTACCTTACAGTCATTATGACACTTCATTATTCCACTAGAAAGGAAAATTCAAATGCTGAGTATTTAAAAGTCATTACTTCAGAAATAGGGAATGTAAAAGAGAAAATTAGCATTTTATTAAGAGAATTTGATTCATTTTAACTAATGAGGACCACAATAATTTAATACTGCTGCAATGAATCTCTTCTGGAAACTCTGAGAATACCACAGACAAACATATAGCACATTTCTGATAACATGAATGCAACTATCAGATGTCCTGAACCTCATCTGTTAAAACTGAAAGCAGAGCTTTTCAACAGGTTAGGAATCCTGGATCCACTTAAATACGGCAGGATTAATATTCTTTCTGAGGACGAAGGAAAGATCCTGTTCCACCCCATAAAGACTGCACAGGCTGCCAAGAGTACAGGGAAGGGCCTTCAGCTGTGGATCATTAAGAAAAAGCCATTTAAAAATGGGATGTTTTAGAGAACACAGCATCCGGTAAAACAGTGGAGTGCTTTTTCCATGTGGACCCAAGAGAACTTGAAATCATTTATTTTGCAAATGAGAAACTGCATGTTTCTATGATGGTTTGTTTTGCCATATCTGTGAGAAAGGAACTTCCTTCTACTCAAAAAGAAGGTGAAAGGGATGTGCTTCTGAATTTGACGCAGCCAAAAAGAACTAACACGTGCAGCAGACTGCAGTCCTTCCCCTGCATTCTGCCACCACTATCCTGGAGGTTCAGGGTACCCAGCTCCAATCTGCCCAAGAATGCTCTGCCCTGGAGAGGATACCACTGCCTCCACATGGCACGTATCCACCCAGCACACTGCCCTGCTGGCTTGTCCCCTGTGCACATGGGGCCTTTCTGTCATTTCAGGGTCACTTCCTGCACTCAGCAGGACCTGCCTAGCAGAGGTGG